GAGCGCCAGCAAAATGACGCGCGCAAGCTTGTCCTCCTCGGATTTCCTCGCCCACTCCTGGTCGATGGCGTCAAAGAGACCGGCGCACGCTGCTAGGCCAAGTTCGCACCACAGCACGCCCGGGATAGCATCGTCGCGCGTGCCTTCGATCTCTCGAAGAAAGTCACCCTTTTCAGTTGACAAGGCGATCGCTGCCAGTACATCTTTACACAGCTTTGTTCGTTCAGGAGGTGCCTGGGAGACCGCTGGCCCACCCCATCCCCGACTCCCCCCTTTTCGCTGCCTCTCCTCCGCGACCTCGACATCAACTCGAGGCAGTCGTTTATCGTCGGGAAGAGTTCGGGCTATTCCGACGAAGGCCCTTGCCTCCATGCACGAAGTTGACAGCACGGGCTCAGGTGGATCGGTCTGTATTACGAGACGCCCTCGCGACCCCGCTCGAGCAGTTGAGTGTTCGGTCGACTCAGAAGGCATCTCCTGCGTGTGCAATCGCGACAAAATTTGTCGAGTTTGATAGCGTTCCCCCCATAGAGGAAGCACAAGCAGCCGCGGCCGCGCAGCTACGCCGCCCCCTTGCGCGCATAAGTGAACAGCGCAGCGCTCGCGGCAATGTTCCAGCCCCTCCCGCGCCAGCCTCGCCTGCCTCCTGCTCCCCCTTCCTTCCCCTTTCCTCTCTGTCCATCTGCTTCTGCTTGTGGAACACAGATGCCCCATTCGCCTCGGCCAGAACCACCACATGGAGGGCCCCCGCCCGATACCGCACCTCCATGAGGCTGCGCAGCACACCCGATACTACAGCAGCGCAGGAGATCCATGGACACCATGGAGACATCAGAACTCGAGCGCGAACTCCCTCGCCACATCGTTGCGGGGTCGTTCGCCCCCTACTCCTCCTGCGAAGGAGGCGCCGCCGCGTCCTTTTCCCACCCCTTTCTCTTTCCCGCTGCTGCAGTCGAGCGCTCCGAAGCGATTGCGGGGAGGACCAGTAAGAGCTAGCTCTCGGGACAGCATGAGAATCTGAGGGCTTGCAATATACACGCGCCTGATACAATTGACGCGTTCTCTCTTTACGCTCGTTTCCCTCAACGCTTGCAGCGCGACGCCTGTCGCCGCCAACCCCGGGGGGGCGAGGCGCACCCCTACGCGTTGCTTCTTGGCGATTGGAATTTTGTTTTGGAGGGGGGGAGGGGGGGGGGGGGGGCACGCTTTACAGGAGACGGCAGCGGTTCCCCCCCGGGGGCAGCATGCACTCTAGATTGCGATTCCGGCAGGCTGCTTCCTCAGTTCACGGAGCGGCAGCAGGACCAAGACACCCGAGGTGGAAGGAGGGGGCGAGCGGTTGCTGAAATTGCCCACTTGGACCGCTTCTATACTTCGACGCCACCTGCTCTGGTCAGAGATTAGACGATCACTACCTCTACGATTGGCGCTCTCCGATCTGCGATGCCGAGCGACGCTTCTGGACACCACCCCTGAGTCTTGGGGCCCTTGGAGGCAGCTCCCCCTAGCCAAGGAGATGTGTTTTCGAAGCTGCTCTTGCGCCAACTTGCACGGCTCGTCGCAGCACGCGCATTGCCTTGATCACAAAGTCTTGGAGGAGGATGGAGTTTCGTCGTGCTGACCTCGACGCATTTCATCGCCGTGCGCTTTCCGCCTGTCTTCGTCGCTGCCAACTGTCATGGGGAAAATTCCGTCAGGGGACACACCATGGGGTCGTCACTGACTCTTCGGGTAATCCTTGCGGGTCTCTGGAGGAGTCGGCTTCAGTCTCGGGCGATCACTGGGCTGCGACGTTCCAACGCGCCCAGGTCTCGGAAGCTTTCTGGAATGGAATCGACCCACATTCAGAAATCACCTTCGACACCCATCGATGACGAATGGAAAATGGACTACGCCTCGCGGCACGAGATGATTCGCAAGCGCCCGCATAGCATGCCAGGCCCCGACGGTGTCCCACATGCCGCGCGGACGTGCCCGCCTGCCGCAAGGATTTTCCATTCGCGCTACTTGGCACTACTCACAGAGGAGATCAGCACGCTACCCGCAGATACGTTTGGCAGTTTATTTGGTTTCCTCCCGAAGGGCATGGACCCGCAGGACTGCCCAGGTTGCCCGCTCATTCGCGCCTCTTCCTGCACGCGGCCGCTGAGCATGAGCAGCAAAGACGTCAAGCTGCTCGCCGCCGCCTCCATCTACCTAGTTGTTTCTCACGCGCGCGAACTGGCGGGGGAGGAGCAGAAATGCGCGGGGGGAAAGGGGCGTGATTGAGAACGCGGCGAGGGCGGAGGCGCGGGGGCTTGCTCGGCACCTCCGCGATTTCTGATCGACTTCGTCGGCTTTCCTGGGCACGTTGCAATCCCGGCTCTCCACGTGGTAGAGGCAACGGAGTTCCCCGCGCCAGCCGCTCGTTTCTTTCTGGCGACGCATGCCGAGAATGATGTTGTCGTTACCGTTGGAGTGAGGATATGTCGAACTATTCTGATTCAAGCTGGGGTGAAACTGGGGCGCCGTGCCCCCACGCTTCGATTCGCCCAGGCTGTCGACCCCCTTCTTCGTTGGATTCGCCACCGATGTTCGCAACGTGTTTCTCTTAATCTTGCGTGCGCTGATGACTTCCTCTTTGCCCTGATGAATGTCTGCGCCAATCTAGACCCGCTCCTCTGCGACCATGCAGCTTCAGCCCATTGCGGGCCTTGGGCGGAACTTCAGAAGCGCCGGCTCATTACTTGCGGCGGTTTGGACATTGTCCGTCTGCCATCCTTGCTGGCGAGTTACGGTAGACCCTTTGCCGACATCCAAGTGGCTTCGCGAGTCGTTTACCTCGTTTTCCCGATCGGCCCAGGAGCGGCCGCAAACGTCTGGCAGCCGATTATTCCTGGCTTCTTGGTTAAACGTCCTGGCGTCGCGCACCAAACTCGTCAACTCGGTGTAGGCGTTGCACAGAGTGCAGCGGCTTTTTGTGTGATGTGCCTCTCGAAGCTGTTATTTCGCTCGCAGTTGCACACGCCTGGTAAGCTCTTGGTCCACCTGCACAGCGACAGCATTATGCGTTTGATTTCTTGTCCGAGGAGCGCGATCTCTTACAACATTGATACGAAAATGAGGGGCCTGGGCTTCTGCGCCGAAGATACCAACATTGAAGCTGCATCGGAAGCCGCCCATATTCGATATCTCTTGAGGTATAACTTTGTATTTGGGTTGCTTGAGGAGTTGGAGGAGTCGAGAACCGATTGGGAACAAATTCCGTTTCGTTGGCTTTCGGGTTGGAAAGCGATTCATTGTTAGGTCACGCGCGGCGATGAAGCAGTGCATTCTTGGGCCTCCGACTAGTATCTCTGCGGGCACCACGAGGCTCCAACAGAAACTCTACTTCGGGTTCCGTGCCGTGCAGAAATACGAACCTGCTCGTATCATTATGTTGAGGCGTGCTCGTAAGCTGCACCCTGCGGTGACCTCCCACGAGATTGAGAGGATGCGCAAATCTATTATGGGTGTATGTGACGCGACATCGGTGCGCTTCGGAGTTGTACCTTTGAGACCTCTAACAGGTTTCATGTGTACGTGTTCTCGCTTCCAAGTTCCTCCGATGGGATGTCGATGTGATCGATCTTGATTAGATTTACCATTATGCTCAGTATCCCCACATCGAAGCTCTTCTGAGACGATGGTTGCAGGATGAAATGTGTGTGCACTCCGACCCTGTGAGATTTCCCTGGCTCCCCTCATGTTGGTTGTTCTTCTCTGACGGTTTGTTGTTCGGCCTCATTACAGCGTGTTGTTTGCATTAATGCGTTCCTCGCAATTTTAAACGCACGTCACCTCTCGCGCCGTGTATTGCCTGTGCTGGTCTTTGAGGCTCGTCTCTGAGTTACGGCTCGTCGCCATCCGAGGCTTGCTTCTCTCTAGGGCCAGAGTGTCTTTGTCTCCCGAAGCTTGGCTCGGGCTCGACCCCCTCCCCTGGAGGCGTTCCCCGCCCCTGCTCCAGGCACGCCCCGTGGCACATGGGTGCTTCCGACCGCAGGGGTGCAGGGCCCGAGCCACCTGGGGAACAGCACTGGTCGCCCATCGGGGCGACCACCTTCCCAAGCAAACTTGACACGGCCAACGAGAACTGGTGATTAAAACAAGAACCAACAAAAATGGGGCAGGGGAGCGGGCCCAGCTGGAAGTTCCCGTTCAACGCGATTTCTTATTCCAGGGGCCGTTCGGAACGATTTTCATTCCAACCCCACCGTTGTGCCCCCCGAAACAACAGAAACATAAACTCTTGGCGCTCCGCGCGGATTTCTTGGATCCGCGCTGGGCCTTCCCTGCCGCCCATGGCGCGCTCCGCGCGCCAGGGAGGGGGCCCAGCGCAGATCCAAGAAGTCCGCGCGGAGCTCCAAAAATGTATGTGTGGATGTCGTTGCTTCTTCTATGGAAGTGTCCTCGGGACGTCCTCGAAGATGCCCAGGAGATGTCGTGGCGTGTGCCCCGCGGGTGCCCCGGAGGGCTCCCCCTGGAAGTGTCCCAGCGCTACCCCCCCCCCCTGGAGGCTCGTTCCGACCGCCCGTCCCCGAGGCGCCTTCTCTGGCGGGGGCCGTGGAAGTGCCCTGAAGGCGACCCCCCCTCCCCCCATTGGCGCCTTCCTTGGAGGGTGTCCTGGAGGTGCCTTGGCGGGTGTCCTGGAGGGGCCCATCGGTTTGCGAAAGACAAATGTTGACAAGCATTTCCAGTGCTAGTCGAGCTAACGCCTTCACCGTGCTTGGTTGCCCACCATTCCTGGTTGTGTGATCCTTGGCATGCGTGCCTCTTGATGATCGGGCAGGCAGCGTCGTGGTGTGGCGCAATGTCGCGGGACCGTGAGCGGTGCCGAAATTTCGAGGGCTTTTACTTGCCACTTCGGGGCATTTTGGAACACGTCAAGGTCCTCTGCCTCTGTGTCGGGACAGGCGCCAGATGGAAGCTCCCAGCGCAGAGCAACCTCAAATGCTGGTGCAACTGCTGGCTCGGCTTCTCAGGTGGAGACGATCACAGAGGAGCACAACATGATCTACATAGGCAGCTCCGAGCGTTGCAACGGAACGAACGGACGGGCGGAGCGGTTCCCGTGGGCAAGGTTGCGATCTGGATTCGTCATGTTCGCCCTTACTGCACGGAAGACGGAAGAGGATCGAGAGAGAAGGAAGGAAGCGAGGGGAGATGGGGAACGAGAAGGAACAGGAGGCCAAAGATGCTAACTTGCAGTCAATGCGCTGAAATGAAGACCGGTTTGAGTTCGGAAGTGGCTCGTTGTTTTTTAGGTCTTTCTATGGTTGTTACTCGAACCCTCCTCGTGCACGCAGGCGGGTTTGGGGCCAAAAAGAGGCTTATCATCGCTTTTGTCTTGGCGATCCAATACCCCCCCAAAGGCCTCCAGAAGCCAAGATTGAGGCAAAAGATGCCGCCACGATTCGAAGAAGCAAACACGGCATAAGCTTACATCTTCGGAGTTCCGCGTGGATCTTCTAGATCGGCACTGGGCCCCCCGGCGGCGCCTATGGCGCCGTCTTTGGCGCGCTCCGCGCGCCGGGGAGGAGGTTCAGCGCCGCTCCAGGAAATCCGCGCGGACCTCCAAAAGGTATGGTCATGCTGTTCGGTCTTCCTCTAGATCTCGGCGAGGCCCATCATGGGCCCAGGATCGGTGCATTAGCCAAGGCATGAGGGCGTATGCACCGATCTCGGGCTCAGGATGCGCCTGGCCAGATTCAGTGTATCTGCATACATATGTTTCCTCTTATGGTTATGCAGTTGTCTTCTTCCTCCACACTCGTGGCGAAGGGCCCGAGGAGAGGAGGGACTGGCACGAGCGAAGTCGCTGTACCCGAGGGCCAGGGCGCGGGGGCGGGGGCTCCTGCCGAGTGGGCGGCGTGCCTGGCGCGCGCCCACACGAGACCAGAGGTGGTCACTCGGTGGGGCGTGAGGCTGGCAGGGACGACGACAGGCTCGAGGGGATACGACGTTCGAGGCTTCTCAGGCACAGCGATGGGCTCGAGGGGACACGAGACTCGAGGTCTTCGGACGTGTTCGGGAGACCTCGGTGGCCTTCCGGCCGCGGGTTGCCTTCCAGCAGCTGCGCCTCGTCGAGGACCGTCCCTGGGGTTCCCGGATCTTGCCGAGCGGCCACTGGGGAGCCGAGGCATGACCCGAACACCCGAGGGTTATGTCGGGCGTGTCCCCCTACAGGGCGATTCTCGACGAAAAAATAAAAAATACTCAAAAAATGCCCCAGAAAGGCCAAAAAATAGTCCAAAAATAGTCCCCAGACTAGTTCTGGACTATTTTTTTATTATTTTGGGATTTTTTATTTTTCGTCGAAAATCCCCCTGTAGGGGGACAGGCCCGACTTAACCCGAGGGCAATGTTAGGAGGGGTGGGCTCAGGGGGGGAAGCATCGACCCCCAATCGCCCATTGATCACCGATAGGGGCCCGGCATCCCGCCCCGCTCAGGACAGTGCGGATTTGCCATCGGGGGCCTATGGCCGATCTATCGACGATGCATCGCCGAATCAAACTCGACGTTGCCCCCCTGATCTGGTCCCCCCCCCTTACGTTGCCCCTCAGGCTAGCGGAGGTGGCCTGAGATCCAGGCGTTGCATTTCTCACACTGGGCGTTTTCGCGCAGTTTCGGGCCCCGGGACCATCACAGATCGGTCCGTCGTCTCCAAAACGCAGCAGAAGGATGGGGTCCAGGGCTCTGGTCGTGATTTTTCGCGGTGCTACGTTTTTCCGCAATGACGGACTCCAGAGGAACGCCGATTAGCTATCATTCGATCAGGGGAAGGGCAAGCAGGAGGAGACGAAGAGGAAGCAGATGGAGAAAGACGAGGAGGACGAGGAGGGTGGCCGAGGTTTTTGGGCGCCTGGGCCCGTCTTGGGCCTTTGGCATTCATGGACCTCCGGAGACCCCCACAGACCTCCAGAGACCCTTGGAGACTTCAGGAGATCGAGGAGGGGGGGGAGGGCTGTAGGAATAAAGCGTTGTTGTCGGCTGTTCCTCGGCTCGTTTGGTGGACCCCATAAGACCTCCGGAGACCCACGCAGACCTCCAGAGACCCTTGGAGGCTTCAGGAGATCGAGGAGGTGGGGAGGGTTGTGGGAAAAGAGTGCTGTTGTCGGCTGGTCCTCCCGCGGTTCGCCCCGTTTCGAGCCCCGAGACCGACGAGAAACATCGGGTGCGAAAGGGGTCGAGAGGTCCAGGGGCCCGCGTCACCGAAGAATCACGGCGCGAGATGTCTGGGGAGGACGGGGAGGCAGGTGAGAGGCACCCAGGACGAGAAGCGAGGAGGCGGAGGGGCCTCCGCCTCCTCCTCCTCCTCCTCCTCCTCCTCCTCCTCCTCCTCCTCCTCCTCCTCCTCAAGCACAAGGGGGCCCTGGGCGCGCCGACCATTTTGGCTCCAACCGTGCCCATGGATTCCTGCCTCGGCGGCTCATCGCGCCGTGCTTGTGGCACCTGAGTGAGAACGTAAGCAATTCTACAGGGTGGCAAAGATCGAGGCAAATTTCTCCAATGGAAGCTACGGGACGCGCCCGCGAGGGGCGCAATACGGTGAAGGGGAGCACGACAGACCGGAAGATGCGCAGACAGCACGCAAGGATCTCAGCAGATAACCTCATTAGGCGCTTGTATACAGAGATTGCGACATTGAAGTGGAAGATAGACAGTTATGATGCTTGGTACTGGTCTTGGGCGAAGGCGAAGCACGAACCCAATGTCATCAGCTACAACGACGAGGAGTCTTGTACGGTGGCAGTGGCGGAGGCGAAGCACGAGCCCAACGCCATCAGCTACAACGGCGACGATCCTGCGAAGTCTTGTACGGCGGTGGTTGGGGACGCAAAGCACGAGCCCAATGTCATCAGCTGCAACGACGTGAAGTCTTGCACGATGGCAACGGCGGAGGCGAAGCACGAGCCCAATGCCATCAGCTACAACGACGACGTCGATCCCGCGCAGTCTTGTACGGCGCTAGTGGCGGAGGTGAAGCACGACCCCAATGTCATCAGCTGCAACGACGTGGAGTCTTGCACTTTGGCAGTGGTGGGGGCGACGCACAAGCCCAATGCCATCAGCTACAACGACGACGACTCCCCACGAAGTCTTGTACGGCGCTTAGTGGCGAAGGCGAAGCACAAGCCCAATGTCATCAGCTACAACGACATGGAGTCTTGTACGTTGGCAAGGGCGGAGGCGAAGCACGAGCCCAACGCCATCAGCTACAGAGACGAGAGCGGGAGGAGTGCTGCGACGACCAAGCCTAACGTCGACAGCTGCAGACCCGAGAATGGAGCACAGGTGAAGATGGAGCCAGATGACTTCTACCCTAGCTACTGCTCGGGGATCAGCGCGTGTGAGAGAGGCGGGATGATTGAGCCTTTTACGTCTCACACTAGTCGCTCTACCCCTAGTCTAGGCCCAGGGTGCAGTTCGTACGGCTACAGTGCCGCCATCGGGCCTCGCAGAATGCAGCAGGTGAAGTTAGAGCCCAATATTGCTAGCTACCGTGATGCTATCTCTCAGGAGCTCAGAGAGATCAGTGGAACTCCAGGCGCCCCTTTTTTGCCCGGCGGTTCGGCGGTGATCGACTGGGGCGCCATCAAGAATACAGATCAAGACTGCAAGCAAATGTGAGGGGACTGTGAGAACAATTTCGTGCCGCGCGTGATAAATTCCGTGCCACTCGTGATGGATGTCCTGAACTGCGGCTTCAAGTTCAAGGAATTTGTATAGAGAGATTGCACATTGACTTTGTCATATGATCATGATCATGCTCATGCTCCTCCTCCTCCTCCTCCTCCTCCTCCTCCTCCTCCTCCTCCTCCTTATTTTCCTCCTCATTGTCCTCCTCCTCCTCCTCCTCCGCGTCCTCCTCCTCCTCCTCCTCCTCCTCCTCCTCCTCCTCCGCCTCCTCGGCGGGACTTCTCGGAAACCCTCGCGCCGTCTGAGGAGTTGTCGGTGTCTTCGGGGAAGGTTTAGAAAACGTCTCAGAAGGCCATGGGACTTTCGAGCCCTTGGAGAAGGCCCGCCCCTGCTCTCAGGCGATCGCAATCATGGATCAAGGGGGCGTGGATTAGCGACGGGTCCCGTCTCCATGGGAAGCCGCGGATTTCCATCGCCGCGCGAGGCGGCACCGGCTGCATTTTGGGGAGGGCACCTGCCCCGATCCATGGATTTGGCGACCGCGCGCCAAATCCATGGATCGCTAATCCATGCTTGCGCGCCCCAGGTTCTCACTGCCCCCCTCGCTCGCGCGCCGACTCGTGTTGAGAGGACGAGGCGGCCACGGTCCTGCCCGCGCGGGACCTCAGAGAAACAAAACAATGTGGTACAACATCTTGGCACGCACGGCGCAAGAGCTGACTGAAATGCAACACTCTCTAGGATACAGTCAAGACGCTGAAATCAGGAAGAGTTTGGGTTACGGGAGGGGCTCGATGTTCCTTCGGTTCCTCCTGTGTTGTTCCGCTTGCCCTCCTCGGGCACTGAGGCGCTTACAGGGCCAAAAGAAGGGGCGTCGTTCCCTGTTAAGCGTTCCTCCTTTCGGCGGCCCGACCGCATGGTTTCGAGGACCCTCCAACGCTTCTGAAAAGGCAGACCGACCTCTCCAGCGATGCGGCTCCTCGCGGTGCTCCTCCGCCCCCCCCGGCCGCTGCTCCTCCCCTGCCCCCCCTCTGCGGCCCGCACGCGCGAGAGAGCAGGTGGAAGCGGTCGGGGCGTGCTGCCAAGGACGCACGGGGGAGGCCCTCCCCGGGGCCCTCCGGCCTCCTCGCGAGCCCTCCGGAGGCCCAACGAGCGCGAGCAAGAGCAGCAGCAGGCGCGATCCCAAGTCCTCGAGCCCTTCCCTCTGCAGGTGGGGGCCCATGCCAAACGACACACCCTGCCTGCCTCCAGGGTGCCCTGGCTTTCCAGGGTTTTGATGTGGCTTTGCCGCGGAGGGCGTGGCGTTCCCACCAGAGTCGATGGACGCCCTGGGTCTCGGGGTTGGGCTTTTTGTGGAGGGTTTCTGGTGGCCGGGCCTCCACTGTGCGCGCCAGGGCGACGCTAGGTAAGAGTGACATCTGGCGCGCGGCCTGCCTATCGACGTATGCCGCGCTGCGGCAACGGCAGAAGCCTCCGAGCCCTTCTGAGAAGCCCCCCCATGCCTCACGATGTTGCAACCTACGTCAGCCTTGACGCCCAGAAAGAATTTCGAGCACCAGGGAAATACCGAGACTGGAGGGTTTCCCCGTGTCCCAGCGTGTCGGGCAGACGCGGTTCAGGTACTTCTGTTCCTGGGTGTTCGAGATTGTTTCTGGGATGTGGCCCTGAAGTACGATCGGGAGCAGCATAACCCATGCCTTCTTACGAAGCAAGCCCCCCTCACCCCAACCCGTTCTGCGCATGGGGAGGAGGGAGGGAGGAGGAGGGGAGGGAGGAGGAGGAGGGAGGGAGGGAGGGAGGGAGGGAGGGAGGAGGAGGAGGAGGAGGAGGAGGAGGACGGAGGCGGGAGCACCTCCCTCCTTTCCTTCTCCTCCGCCCTCTTTCCTCCCGCCCCCCCTCCTCGGCCCTCCCCTTTGCCCCCCCCCCTCCCCCCCGCCTCCCTCGCTGCCGCGTCAACATGTCGCGAACCTGTCCGCATGAGCTGGAGCAAGACAACTGCGTAAACATATGCTTTCGGATGCTCGCGCTCCTTTTCCGATGCGACCTTCGCCTGTCCGGGCCAGTCCAGCATCGGCGCAGCTGTGCTCTCGGCGCCCTCTCCTCCGACTTTTAGGGGGCTCGACGGCGCCTGGGTGCACGGGGAGCCCAGGGAAAAGACAGGAAGGGAGGAAGGGGAAGAAGGAAGAGGAGGGAAGGAGGAAGGGGGGAAGGGCAGGGAGGACTGCGGGGAGGAAGGGAAGGAGGGAATGACGGAGGGATGAAGGGCCCCAGCGGGGGCGTTCAAGGTCGAGTGCCGCCAGTGGCCCGGGATCGGCAGGTGTCGAATTGTTGAACGGTTGCTGTGCGTTGAAAGCACGCGGTGCGCGTGGAGGCCGACATGGGTAACCACCAGGACCAGCTCCAGGGCCGCAGTCTGAGCCGTTCTCGACGGCCCCAGGGCGCATGGAGGGCCTCGGGGGCCCGAAGACGGCGAGATGAGTCCAGGGCTCTCTTCCCTTCACGCCTGGCTTCGTGGGGTCCAGCGACACAGCAAGTCTACGACTGCGGGGCGGCCGCGCCACGTGTCGCCCTGGCACGCCCCCGCCCCGCGCGCGGTCGAGGCCTCCGCGGCGAGCTGGAGGCCAGAGCGGGTGCACCGGGGGTCGTCGTGCTCGTGTTCCTCGTCTTCGTTATCTTCCCCAGCATGCTGCCCATCATCCACATCATCGTCATCAGCATCACCATCATCATCGTCGCCATCACCATCACATTCGAGGAGGAGGAGGAGGAGGAGGAGGAGGAGGAGGAGATGGAGGAGGAGGAGGAGGAGGAGGAGGAGGGTGAACAGGCAAGGAAGAGGAGGGGGGAGAGGGGGGCGAGGAGGAGGAGGAGGGGGGTGTGAGAAGTGGGGATAATTCAGGAAACGCAGGACGAAGGAGCAGTGGAAGGAGGAGGAGAAAAGAGGATAACAGGGAGGGGGGAATGGGTAAAAATGGGGGGGACAGGAGGAGGAGAAGGAGGAGGAAGAGGAGGAGGGAGGGAGGAACTGCGAGCAAGAGGACGAGGAGAAGGATACAAGAGGGGAGCGGGCGCAGCGCGCCTGGGCTGGTGGGCGCAGCTCCCCCGTCGGCCCCGATGTCCGATCCTTCCTCTCCTCCGTCCTCTGCCCTCAACATTGCGGAGAGGAGGAATGGCGCAGGAGGGGGGGTGCTATGGTGCACACGTCGAAGACTGAATTTCCACCCGGGCGCGCGGCACGCGAAAACAATTCCAGGATTGGAAGCCGACGGTTTGGGGAAGGTCCTTTGACAGTTGGGGGATATTCCCAAACCCGGAGTACGAACATAATTCGGCAAAGGCAATTGCTCGTACCTTGGGTCTCGTCGTCGGTCCATTTTATTCGTTCTCCCTCTCCCCCCTTCCCCTCCCTCCACACTCCACACTCGTCCTCCCACAGTCGAATCGCTTTTTGGTCAAAATCTCATTCTAACTTGCCGCGGCTTCGGGCGGGGTAAGGCTGGGCATGCTGGGCCGATAGGGACGGGGTGAAGAGAGCCCGCGCGCCGCCGCCCAGGAGCGCGCGGCGCATCGCGAAGCCCCCCCCCCCGCGCACTGTCAAGCGCTTTATTTATATCTCGCTTCTCATAAGTGGGAACGCGCTGTTTTTTTTTCTGCACGCGGCACGCTCAGTGGCACGCGGAGGATGCGCAGGGCGCGCCCCCGCCCACGGCCGATGGGGAGGGCCCAGGAGAAAACCCCAAACAGTGCTTGCACTCACGCCGCCACCTAGGCGCGCTGACTTTTGTCGACGCCGCCACCTAGGCGCGTTGGCTTTGATCGTTTGGGGCCCACAGAGTAGCAATCACGCCCCGTGGCACAAAAGGGCCGAGGCAGAGGTTGGCAGCACAGGCCCGCCGGGGCTCGAAGATGACAGTGCGGAGATAAGACCGCATCTGGCTGCATCAAGGGCAGATGTGGGCAGCTAGGCGGGCGCGAAGCGCAAGGCCGCGTAGCTGTTTTGCTTGTTCGCTGGATGCCGAACTCACCCTGTCCCCCCCCGAACTGGCAACCCCGACTGGAAGCCAACGCCGGAGCCATTTGAGCCCAAGGTCAATTGGTTACAACACAGATGAACACGGAGAGGGTTTCTGCAACGCCCCGCGCCCTCAGCGCGAAGCGCGCTCCAGCGAGCCGGGGAGCACGCGTTGCCAAGCGCAGCAGGAACTGCCGAGAGCCAATCGCGCGCGCGTTGTGCCCTGCGCGGTTTACGAATTTTGCCGCGAACAAAGGACCCTGCGCCGGCCGTCATCGGTGGTGCGTCTGGGCCTGCCACAGGGCGCCAGCGGCGAAACGGCGCACAGCGAGGACAGGGCGGCAGGCGGAAGCGACTGCCGAAACCGAAGCAGATGCTGCGACAGAGAGAAGAGGCGAGGGACCTTGCACGTGCGGGGGAGCGGACACGGGGGACCCTGATCGCGAATGTCGGAGGAAACTCAAAGACAATTCTGCGAGTTGGGCGCCAAATTCGCGCGGCAGCACATGGCAATGGCGTCGGGGCGCCAGTCGCATCGGACAGTACATTTGCACGTGAAACACGCGGAGCAGTTTTCCAGTGCTGGGAGCCAACCATGAGAAGCGGCGGCGCGCGCTGCATCGCTGCGGCGCCTGAACGAGCTCGCGGGGCTGGAGCCGCCACTGCCGCCGCATAGCGTTTCGCCTGAGGCCCCGGTCGCGCCCCGCAAGAAAAACAGCCCAGGCATGAGAAATCGCGGCGGATCGAGAGCGCCCTGCCCCGAGATGACACAAGCGCGCTGACGCCGCCATTGCGGGTCGCGGTGTGCACTGAGCCACGCTGGCCCCACGCAGCGCCGAGAGACGGCGACGCGCGCAGGGATGGGTCGGACGCGCGGCAATTCGCAGGGGGAGGCGACAGGATTTCGGCACGGAACCGAGCACAAAACTAGTGCCACCGAGCAAACAAACGATCACCAGCGCGCGCGCGCAGGCGCACCGCGGGCGGCGCCGCGGCGAGGCATCTCGGAACCTCATGTAAATTGGGCGAGGAACGCGCTGGATGATCTGCGGGCGCGCGGCGTGGACATCGACGCCCAGCGCGCTCTTCCGTCGCCGGCAAACGCGCGGCTGAGCACGCGGCCGCGAGGCGCATCGGTGCCCCGCGAGCGGCAGACGGCGATCGACCGCGCTGCCCAGGCCATCGGGCCGCCAGCAGATCGCGCGCGGAGGATCGGCCCCACATTCAGCGAAGGGGGCAGTCTGCACGTGAGCAGGGTGCGCCGGCCCCTTCTCAGACAGAGAATTCGAGGCCTCAGGGCGCTATGGATCGGCATCCGCGGGGCGAGCAGTCAGGGCGCACAAAGCACAGGAAACGTCTAGCTCGGCTGCTAAGCGGCACGATCTATTCGAGGAGATTGCACGCGGAAGGCGCAGGCGGGATTACCCCCCAGGCACGCGATGGGAGACGCCAGCGCCCGCGCGGTCGAAGACTCGCAACGCGAGCAACATGGGGCCCCCATGGGAATGCGCCCTGCGCGCGGCCGCCGCGCGCCGCGGCCAAGGAGCGCCGCCCGCAATAACCGTCTCTTCCTCACCAGAGTCGCCCGACGTCGAAGTCGAAGATGCGCGCGCGCCGGCAAGCGTCGAGGACGGACAGGGCCAACCCGACATGGCGGAGCCGTCGGTGCCAGGCACGCCCAGGACAAGTCCCTGCCACGAGGGCAGCGCGAGCGCGGCCGCAGGTTCGTTCGACGGTCGCGGGGCAATACCCCAACGCACGGAATATGTTTTGCCATGCCGCGTGCCCGCAGGAGGAAAGATCGCCAATGCCGCGCGCACTCGGCCGCGGACTGTCGCGCGCGCGCGCCGGTGGATCGACGCGCCGCGCGCGCCCGGCGAGCGGCGCAGAAGGCGCGGAGGTGGCAGCGAGCTGAGAAGAATGTGTTTTTTGAAAAATCAGAGATGCACGCGCGCGCGCAGCGAGCGCGCCCCGACAATCGCGGCGGCGACGGCCTTTGGCGCGGCGCGCGCGCGCAGTGCCACATCGCCACGCGCGGCGCAACCAGGAAATGCCGCGCGCCCACGTCGGGGCCCGCGACACGGCGACTGAGCGCAGCAAGGCAAGGCCTGGCGCATCGCGCTAGCAAGCTGCACGTGGGCGCGAGGCACCACGCCCAATGCCGCGCGGGAAGCGAGCCCCCCCCCCCTGCCACCCCTTTCCCGGGGAAAACAAAAAAAACATGTTAACCCAGCCAAACGCCGATGGCAAGCGGGGCCGGAAGCGGGCCCAGGGAAATTGCCCCCCCGAGATCGCAGCAAGCAAAAAGAGCTCCACGCTGCCAGGGGCGCACGCGCGCGCAGCCCTGAGACCGAAGAGGACAAGCGCCGCGCGACCCTACATTCGGGCGCGAGAGAGAGAGAGAGAGAGAGAGAGAGAGAGAGAGAGAGAGAGAGAGAGGAAGAGAGAGCTGCGAGAGAACGGCCGGCCGGCCCCCCCCCGCCCTCGCTTCCAGCAGCGCATCCCGGCACGGGCAAGGCGCGCGATCGCGCGCGAGCGAATGCGGAGTTTGCGCCCCCACCCGGGAGCGCAGATGCGGCCTGCGTCGAGTCGTCAGCAAGAGCCACCACACATCGGAACTCTGGCCAACCACGGCGCCCGCCCGGGGCATCTCGGCGGCGGCTCGTTGAGAAGGAGGGGTAGTTCTGAGACGCAGACAGACCTCGCGAGCGGGCGCAGGCGGCGGCCCGACCACGCAGGGCGCGCGCGCAAGCCACCGCGCATCGCAGCGTGAGCCACAACCTCAAGATCGCAGCTCACGGGTTCCCATTGGAAGAATCTACGACAGTGCACGCGCGCGCAAGCGCAACGCCAGGAAAGCGCCAATGGTCGCGCCCACGGCAAACCATCGGCGCGGCCGGGCTGGCCGCTGCGCGCGCGCAGCACAGCGCGCTCGTAGCGAACGTTGCGCGGCGCGCGCAGGAGCGCGGCGCCAGGGAAGCGCCAGCGGTCACGCCCGTGGACAGCTGCGAGCGAGTTCGGGCCAGCCACAGCGCACGCGCGCGCAGCACAGCGCGCGCGAGAGCGCAACGCCAGGGACGCGCCAAGGGCCGCGCCCGCGGGCAACCATAAGCGCGGCAGGGAAGTTCCGCCTGGTCGACAGGCGACGCAACTAACGGCTGGCCCCGCCCGCGCCCTCGGGTCGGCCATGTGGCGGCACCTCCCTGCGCTCGGCCGCGGACAAAAGTGCCCCGCGCGTTCGGGGGCGTAGAGGGCCCCGCTCCCCGTCGGTCAAGCCTGCCCCGGCTTCGGGCAGGGCAGGGCCAGGCAGGCTGGGCCGATAGGAAAGGGAGGAAGAGAGCCCGCGCGCCGCCGCCCAGGAGCGCGCAGCAGAGAGCGCGCGGCACATCGCGGACCCCCCCCAGCGCAGCGCCGAGCGTCTTCTTTACTTTTTCCCACCCGCCTACACTACGGAGAGGCGGGGGGGGCGCGCCGGCGCTGGCCGCGGAGACGGATGGGCCGCCGAGGCGGGCAGCCCCGCGCGCTCGAATTCGACGCAGCTGAACGACCGTCGAGGCGGGCGGCCCGACGCGCCTGGGAAAGCGATTTGAGTTAATGCACAGCGGCAT